CCTATATGGTTTTCTTTATTCATGTGGATTTGAGTTATAATCTAATGTATTCTCATTACAGCCTGAACGACTTCTCTATTAATAGTTCTTATATGGCATGTGTAATTTGACAGATTTTCCGAGTCCTTGTTTATCTGGGACTGTCGTAATTTCTTCTTCATTTTTGCTGAATGCTGTCTTGATTGATAGACTTTCCTTTCAGCACTTTAAATGTGTCATACCACTGTCTTCTGGTCTCTCTGGTTTCTGATGACACATCAACTGTTAATCATATTTGGGAATCTTTAGAAGTGATAAGTCACTTCCCTTTTGCTGCTTTCAAGATTTACCCTTTGTTTTTCTGCCCCTTCTGCTCTCCCCTTTTACTCCTCTCTTGTGGATGTTGCTATGTTTAAATGTTTGATTGTGTCCTACAGGTCCCACAAAAACTGAGGCTTTTTGTTCATTTTCCCTATTTTTACTATCTTCAGATTATATCAGCTCAGCAGGTTTATATTCAAATTGGCTGATTCTTCTGCATGCTCAGATCTCCCTTTGAGACCTCTAGGGAATTTTTTACTTCAGTTATTTTACTTTCATGTTTCAAATTTTCAAATTCTAAAATTTCAGAATTTTAGTTTACTTTTTCATTACATATCTATTATTTCTCTTTATTTATATTCTTTATTTGGTGAGACTTCATTACCATACTTTCTTTTGGTTCTTTAGATGTGGTTTTCTTTAGTTATTTTTATATATATATTTATTATTTGTATATATTTCTTTAGTTATTTGTATATATTTAAAACAGTTTATTGAAAGTCTTTGTCTAGTAAGTCCAGTGTCTGGACTTCCTCAGAGGCAGGTTTTACACTGTTTCATATATAGTTTAGGGTTTTCTTTTTTTCTGTGTATGAGCCGTACTTTTTCATTTGTAGGTCTCAGATTTTTATTGAAAACCTGACATTTAACATACAATGCGCCAGGGTGCCTGGGATGGCTCAGTCAGTGGAGTGTGGGATTCTTGATCTTGAGGTTGTGAGTTGGAGCTCCACGTTGGATTGAGAGAGTACTTAAAAAATAAAATCTTAGGGGCGCCTGGGTGGCTTAGGCGGTTAAGCATCCAACTCTTGATTTTAGCTCAGGTCATGGTCTCATGATTTGTGGGATCGAGCCCTGTGTTAGGCTCTGCACTGGAGCCTGTTTGGGATTTTCTGTCTCTCTTTTCTCTCTGCCCCTCCCCTGCTTACATGTGCACTCTCAAAATAAATAAGCAAAAACTTTAAAAATATATAAATAAGTAAAATCTTAAAATATGTATGTCATATATCACCTGAATATCACCAACCGCTGCTGCTGTTATTTGTTTAGTGACTCTGTTGAACAGAATATTTACAACCTATATTCTTTGTCATATGTGGCCACTAAAGTCTCCACTCCATTAGCTAAATATCAGCAATTGCACAATGATTTCCTTAAATATTTGTAACCAGTAAGTCTCCAGTCTTTGCCAAGATGCTCTATATGTTGGCATATGCCTTCAACGGTAGCTTGATATTTTGTATTCACTTTCACTTTTCTTTCAGAGTCTCAAGGTTAATCAGAGGGAAATTTAGTACCTTCTCAGATATTTTCCTGAATATGCACATAGCCCAGAGGATGTGTGCCACCTTCTACATTCCCAGAGATATGTCTGAGCTTTTCAAAGCCCCTTCTGGATATACCATGTTCCAGCTTTTCCCTTTAAGCTTTTAATTAGACTGTTTTCCTTAATTGTTATAAACTGCCTAAAGTAGCTGTGATGGTAAACAATATCCCTTTTTTTTTTCATTAACTAATGTCATGTCCTCAGAGAAAATGCTGTTTGCAGGGTGTGAGCTTTAAGTCATGTCAAATGAAGATAGCCTTATGAGTGGAATGTTCCAAACAGGTCAAATAATGACAGTTCTCTGGAAGTGGGACTCATCTTCTAATTTAACCTCAGTCTTAGGCACTAAGAACTTGCATCTCACCATTTTATTACTTGGGAAAAATAGGGCATATGGGTCTGGGCAACATTTTGGTAGCGTCTGCCATTGCTCTTCCCTTACCACAAAAAGATACGATCAGTGGCCTCAAGGTGTGTGTTTTATTTACTTTTCCCTTACAGATTAAGTGTTCTGTAGTGGAAATAAGCAATATGGATCTGAGTGGATTTAAACAATAACTCTTTTCCCCCTATACTAGCCAGCATCACATGGGGCAGAAAGGGACTTCCTCTTAATTGTGCCCCAATCCTCTCTGTGACATATTGGGTTCCTGGAGAAAATCTCACAAAAAGGTACAAATCACACTATGTCTGTGACACACATCCCCAGGGACTTCACACTCTAACATTATGCACATGGGTCTTTAGCAGGTTGTTAAATTTTTTCTACCTTTATCTTCCTATTATCTTATGTGAAGTTTGGTAGCATAAGGTCCAGTAAGCAAACAGGTGGGCTCTGATTCTCCCTACAGTGCTTATCTCTCTCCTCATTTCAAGCTATTTGTTATGCAGTTTCATTTATCTGATGATTTTTTTTTAAATACCTTAATTTCCAACCTGCCCAGCTTGTTCTTGTTTTAAGGATGTTAATGCTGCTCTTTTCAGCTCTCTATATCTCTGAACTAAAAGCCAAAGTCAAACTATATGTTTGTAATCTTTTCTAATTTGGTGAGACTTACTGTTTTTATTTTTAATATACAAAATGCGCCAGAAAATATTTTGATTAGATTATCCTATATGTTTCAGTTACTTAAATTTGTTATTTATGTCATGTAAATCTTCTGTGTCAGTGGTCAACAAATTTTATCTGTAAATGTCACATAGTAGGCTTTGTGTGAGATAGGATCCCTAGAAATACTGAACTCTACAGTTGTAGGGCTATAGCAGCCATAGATAACATAACAAATGAACATGACTGTGTTCCAATAAATTTTTATTTACAAAATGAAAACAGTGGCACCTGGTGGCTTAGTCAGTTAAGCATCCAACTTTGGGCTCAGGTCGTGATCTCACAGTTCATGAGTTCAAGCCCCACATCAGACTGTGCTTACAGCTGGAGCCTGCTTCAGATTTTGTGTCTCCCTCTCTCTCTGCCCCTCCCCTGTTCATGCTCTGTCTCTCTCAAAAATAAATAAAGATTAATTTTTTCTTTAAATGAAGAAAAACAGTGGGCCAGATTTTTCCTCTTGGCTGTTGCTGATCTCTTTCTAAATCTCTATTGTTTTGTTTTGTTTTTTTCTGCTTGCCCTCCGAGTTGAGAGTTGTGTTGAAATCACCAGTTATAATTATGGATCCCTCTATAACATTTCTGTTAACTTTTGTTTATACATAGTTGATTCTCCCTATTCTCAGTGGTTATTTTCTATAAAATCACTATGAGCACTGAATTAGCAAATACTGAATCATTGTTCCTAGGGGAAGTACAGGGTTAAGTTCCTGTGAGTTTCCAGTCACAACATTTTGGTCCACCATTCAATATGCAGTCTTATTTTATGTGTGTTTCTGTTTAAAAATACCTTATTTAATATATTGTTGATTCACGAGCAAGAACTAACAGCCATCTGCATGATAATTAATTCTCAAAGTTTATCTAACACACTTGGTTTCTCCCTAAGGCGTATCACAAACTTCCTGCTCTTGGGAACACTAGACCGCATTTCTGCATTACGCAGGGGTGGGGGAGCATTTTAAAAAGTGAAAACGCTAAGAAAAAGCACAAAAATGCCAAGCATGCACTAAATAGACTGCAAAAAAAACATCTGTCAAAGCATTATCTTGTTCAGTTCCAGCTGGAAAAACATGTGCTGGGCACTCAAATTTTTTTAACCATTCGGCAAGTGTCCATAAATCCTGCAAAATCATAACTATTGAGGTTAGAAGTAAATTTTAGGTGAATTTGCAGATACAGAATCAGTGAATAATTAGGATTGACTGTATTTGGAAGCTGTGCTTTCAAATGCATACCAAATTATGATATCTTCTGTTAAAAGGATCATAAATTGTTATTATGTTTTATCATACTTTCTTACCTTTATTTTTTTTCATGTTAATATAACCATCCAACTTACTTTTGCCTCATAATTACGTGTATTTTTTTCCATTCTGTTATTTTCAATCTACAATATATCCCTCTCTATTAATTGGGGGGGGGGGTTGTTGTTTTTAAGTTGTTAACCTTTCCTTTAATTGGACTGGTTTAGCCCAATGGTTGGCAAACTTTGCCTCTAATGGGTCAGATAGTAAATGTTTTCACATTTTATAGTCCTAAGGTCTCTGATGGGAGTACTAGGCTCTGCTGTTACAGCACAAAAGTTACCATGAACAGTACAGAATGATTGGCTGTGTGTGTGGTTATGTTGCAATAAAAACTTATTTAAAAAAGTGGCAAGCTGGATTTGGCCACAGGTCATAATTTGCTGGCCCCTACTGTAGAATATACCCAGGGTAGTATATTGGGGTGTGGGATAAAAATTGGAGGAAATTTATCATTTGTGCTTTAAAAAATTTTAAGACAAAAGTTTTACTAATATACTTATTGATAGTACATGTGTAGAACTCATAAAAATACAAAAATTAAGTTAGGGGTGCCTGGCCGGCTCAGTCAGTTGAGCATCAACTCTTGAACGTTTTTACTAGTTGAGTAGTTCTGAAACAAACTTAAAATTATCAGGGTGCCTGGGTGGCTCAGTCAGTTAAGCATCTGACTCTTGATTTCAGCTCAGGTCATGATCTCATAGTTCATGGGTTCAAGTCCCACATCAGGTTCTATGTTGACAGTGTTCTTAGGATTCTCTCTCTCCCTCCGTTTGAGCCCCTCCTCCTTCCCCCCCTTAAATAAACATTTCAAAAAATTAAAGTTAAAATTAGATTCAAAAAAGCGTCCTTTATATTCATTTTAAACTCTTTACAGTAAACATAAGAATGGTTTTTAGGGGTATTTTCTTTGTTACCTAATTATGAACACTTCACATTGAGCAGAAATGTACTGTTGCAGGCATCAGTGTCATTCAAGGACGTGACTGTGGAGTTCACCCAGGAGGAGTGGCAGCAAATAGGTCCAATTCAGAGGACCCTGTATAGAGATGTGATGCTGGAGAACTACAACAACCTCGTCTCAGTGGGTGAGCATATAAGTGTAACTTACCCTCATCACACCACATGGAAAGTATTTCCTTTTTATACACCAATACACATGAATACTTTATTTAGATTTTAATGTTATTTAAGCATTTCATTCAGGAATATAAAATTATTAGCTATGCCCTTTTGAAGATAAAAGGAGCGTTTTGTCAGCTCTCCATGATAAATCCAAACCAGGATCTTCAGGATGCAGCTCTTGAAGCTCTATCTTTTTTACACTTTTGGAGACTAAAAAGCTCATCATCTGTCCTAAGTACTCCATTGTTCCCTGTTTACAGGGAACTGCATTTTCAAACCAGCAGTAATCTTCAAATTGGAGCAAGGAGAGGAGCCTTGGTTCTTAGAAGAAGAATTCTTAAACCAGAGCCACCAAGGTGAGTTACTGAGCACTAGCAGATAGAATTCTGTAGGGGTGGTTAGACTCCAGAAGGTCAGTTTGGTGATAAAAACCTTTATATTTCAAGACTTTTCTTTTAGGCTCAAAGGTGCAAAAAGCACCAATCAAAAGAAAACGATTAATAAACTTGACTACTTTAAAATTGAGAACTTTGTTTATAAAAGATACCACTAAAAGGATGAGAAGACAAGCCACAGAGTAGCAGAATATGTATATAGTACAAGTAACCTAGAAAGGATAAGTATCCTGAAAATGTAAAAACTTCCATAAGTCAACATAGGAAAAGGTGGCAACCCAACTAAAAAATAAGTGAAAGACTGAACAGGAACTTTCAAATGGCCATTAAATCTTTGAAAATGTGTTCAGTCTCATTAGCTTTCATGGAGTGCAACATAAAATATAAAGTGTTATGAGAGATGTATGAGGTGACATTAACAAGTTTGGCAAAGCCAAGTCCTGATGAAGATGTGAAATATTAAAGAATCTTACTCACTAATGGAAAATGTAAATTGGTAAAACCTCTGTGTTATCAGAAGGATGTTATCAAATCATGGTAAAGTTCTATATAACTTGTAACCAAGGAATTCCTTTCCTAACTGTATACCCTACAGAAAGGCTTGATTGTATTCTCTAGGATAAAGAAAACAGTATTTGTGGCAATATTGTTTGTTTTTGTTTAAAATTGGGTGCATCAGCAGTAGAATGAAAAAATAGTTGTATTCCTTAAGGGATAATTAGCTATATAATATTAAGCAAAAGAAACCAAACAATATAAGTATGCATGTATGGTTACATTTATGTAAATGTCAGAAATGCAAAACTCAATTACATTTTTAGGAATTCATTTTTTGGTGGTAAAACTACAAAGAAAGCCAAGGAAACAATTATATAAATATTCGGAGAGTATGAACTCTTAAGCATGAATAAGTTGTAACTGGGCAGAGACAAATAGGGATTTTTGCAGAGCCATTTTGGGTTCTGTTTCTTGACCTGGTTTCTAATTACACCAGTGTTCACTCGGTACTGTTAAATTGCACATATAAGTTTTATGCAGATGTAAATCATGTTTCATACTTAAGAGAGTGAAGAGATGAACCAAAAATAAATGATATTTACAACTCATAAAAGCCTCAAAGGAAGAGCATCTAGAATTCATAAATGATTTGGAGCTTTCTTAAGTGCCATCTCTGCAGTAAGGCCTTCCATGATACTCCATTTAAAATTGCACCCCTTGGAATACCTGGCTGGTTCAGTCAATAGAGCATGTGACTCTTGATCTCGGGGTCCAGAGTTCAAGCCCCACACTGGCCACAGAGCGTACATACTTGCATACATATATAAAATATACCCCTCACATCAGATTGAAATGTGGAAAATTAGGATGAGGTGATCAGGTACACTTATTCAACTTTGATAAAGGTACCACAGCAGGAATTGAGCAGTGAATCTAATTTAGTTGCAAAAATGGATTTTTCTTTCATCTTTTTTCACTTGTTTGTATTTCCATAACTTATAAGATGGTTAGAGTCTGAGCTATAAACTTCTTAATCATAAGGAATCTTGTACTCAATTTTAATTTGATGTTGAAGGATTTAATGAAAATAAGGGATATCAAATTGGAAGCATAGACTCTTGAGTATTTTACCAGTATGGCCTCTAATAGTGTAGGGCTATATAATATACTTCCTCAAAGCAAACTCTTCTTCTGTCGGGCCTAGCCCATCAGTGTTCATTATCTCCTAATTTTTTTGTTACTTAATTAATACTAATTTTTTTTGTACTTAAGTTTATATAGTCCAGTTGGGTTCATCCCATTATCTGATTTTCCTGCTCCCTAAAATAACCACTCCTGTAAAAGTCTATTCAATTTTATCATTCTCCACCCTGGTAGGAAAATCCAATTTATTACAACCCAAATAAAGATATGTATTTATTACTAGTTTCCTCTCTCATTTTCACTGTATTGTTTTTTAAAGCAGAGTGAAGATATACACACAAATAAATTATTTAATCTTAAAAAAAACAAAAAGTGAAATATAATATAAGCTATATGTCTGTGTCCCAGCCATAAGAAATGTAAGATTTATAAGATGTTTTCAATTTATCTCCATTTTAGAAGATTACAGAGATGATTACCTGATCAAGAGGAACAAGAAAATCAAAGACAACCACTTTCAGGAAGTAATATCCATTGATAATAAACTATTGACTGGAGAGGAAGAGGAAATTTTGGGAAAACAGTTTAATCTGCACATAGCTCCTGTTTCAACAAAAATGTCCTGTAAATATGACTCATGGGGAGTAAATTTGCAAAATATTTCCCAATTTATCATTAATAATAGAAACTATTCAACAAAAAAACCAGATTGCTGTAGTGTATGTGAAAATTTGTCTTTCAAAATTAAGTTTGAGAGAAATCACACTGGAGAGAAGTTATATGAATATAATAGAAGTGGGGAAGCTTTCAGTTATAAGGAAAATCCTCCTGAGAGTCAAAAGTGTCAAACGTTGGAGCAAGCTTTTAAATATAATGAAATTGGAAAAACCATCTATGATGAGGCTGCCTGTGTTACACATAAGAATATTCACACAGGAGAAAAATCCTATAAAAATGATGGATTTAGGGGGAAAAATGAAAAAACAACTGTCTTTAACTATAAAACAACTGGGACAGGGGAGAAATACCCTCATCTTAACCAATGTGGGAAATCCTTCTGTGAGAAGTCAGCTCTCAAGGAATACAATAAATTCAACATAGCTGTGAAACATGAATGTAATGCAAGTGGGAATAATTTCTACAGGAAGTCATACTTCACTCAACCTCAGATACCTGTCACAGAAGAGAACTCATTAGTATGTAATGACAGAAGACAAACTGGGGATAAATCCTTTGAATATCATGAAGATAGGAAATCCTACCACATATCAGCCCACAAAGTACGACAGCGAAGTCACTCTGAAGTAAAACCCTATAAGTGTAATGAATGTGGTAAATCTTTCTTTCAAAAAGGACATCTCATTCAACATCAGAGAACTCACACAGGAGAGAAACCATTTGAATGTAATGAATGTGGAAAAACCTTCTCCCAGAAGTCACACCTCAGTACACATCAGAGAATTCACAGAGCAGAAAAACCCTATAAGTGTAATGAATGTGGGAAAACATTTGTCCAGAAGTCAACCCTCAGGGGACATCAGAGAATTCATACAGGAGAGAAGCCTTATAAATGTAGTGAATGTGGGAAAACTTTTGTTCAAAAGTCAACCCTCAGAGATCATCACAGAATTCACACAGGAGAGAAATCCTTTCAGTGTAATGAATGTGGGAAAACTTTTGGTCAGAAGTCAAACCTCAGAATACATCAGAGAACACATAGTGGTGAGAAAACATATCAGTGTAACGAATGTGAAAAATCGTTCTGGCGAAAAGACCATCTCATTCAACATCAGAAAACACACACAGGAGAGAAACCTTTTAAATGTAATGAATGTGGGAAAACTTTTGCCCGGACATCAACCCTTAGAGTGCATCAAAGAATTCATACTGGGGAGAAACCATTTAAATGTAATGAATGTGGGAAAAAATTTGTCCGGAAGGCAATCCTTAATGATCATCAGAGAATTCATACAGGAGAGAAACCTTTTCAGTGTAATAAATGTGGGAAAACTTTTGGCCAGAAATCAAACCTCAGAATACATCAGAGAATTCACAGTGGTGAAATCTTATAAATGTAATGAATTTGGAACATTGTCTAAGAAGTCAACCCTAAATATTTACCAGAGAATTCAGGGAGGGAGGGAAATCCTGTTGATATAATAACTGTGGAAAATCATTGTGGCTGAAAGACCAATCCATTTGACTCCAGAAAATCCACACAAGAGAGGAACCACATACATATGAATGTAGGAAAACCTTTATCCAAAAAGCAACCTTGAATATATATCAGAGAATGCACACAGGCTGATACTCCTTTCAAGATACTATGGAAAGCCCTCTTGAAAGAAGCCATGCCTTTTAAGATAACTCACACATAATTGTCTGGGTCTCCCTTTCCTTCAAATAGGGCTGGTGGACTTTGAATGTTCATGTTGTATGCTGTATCTAGTTCTGACAAAAGACCTCCCTGACAAACTACAGGGATACTGTCAGAATAAAACAGAGATGACCCAAGACAACCTTGGGTATCATGCTTCAACATGGCACAGCTTTTATAAGATAAAAGGGTGCCTGGAATATGTGGAACAAAATTCTCATTCCCATCTTTACCATTTGAACATTTTATAATTAAGAAGTAAGCTTTTGTTCTATTAAGCTCTTAAATGTTTAAGTCTATTTGCTTTTGAACATAATTTAGCCATCCCTCTGCTGGGGAGGTAGAAAACTATTTGAGTAAGCCAAGCTTATGTCAGCCAGCGGGTATAACACTTATTAAAGTTTGGTGTTGGGAGGAGTCTCTCAAAGATCATCAGAGAATTCATTTAAAAAAAAATCACCTTCTTTCAATGTAATGAAATAAATAATACACCTGTAACAGGGCTTTCAATGAACCAAAAGGTTGAAAGGTTTTTTGGTTAAAATATGAGTATACCTCATGCAACTAAAGTAAATGTGGCTTGTTTAATGTCATGAAGCCACTCTCCTTCCACACTTCCTTTTACCTCCATATACCCCAACATTCGCTTCTTTAGGGGAGAGAAATTTTCCTGTCTCCAAAGGGGACACAAGGCCATTGACACCCACCCAAGTATTTGGGGGAACTTTGAGGGAGGAAAGGGGTCCAAACTTTTCTGGATCTATGAGATGCAAGTGCCCAAGTCAACATCTTATCAATTTCCATGGGATTAGAGGGTATCTAGATTTAGAAAATGTTGTTAGGGCAGGGTTTACAGTAGAGAAGGGAAATGAATTTGATCTTGGAATAAAGGAGGCCCTTTAGGCCAGTACAGTATACTGGGATTATTTCTAAAGTATAGTAGGAATGTGTTCTATGCTATACTTCCCCTTCCCATAACAGAGGAGATTCTCCTAGTCAGGAAAAGTTGTGTGTAAAGAAGATAACTTTGAGGCCTCACAGCCCTTAATGACTACTTTGGGCTTCAAGTCTCTGTGACTTGTCATTCTGTTGATTGGAATTTCTAGCAAAAGGAGATGCCCTTGGGGTGGGGGAGAAGGGTTATTTGACTTGATACCCTAATGAGGCTATGAAGTATACTCCTTTTGTAAAGCAGCCATTAGCTTACTCTTGGGCTCTTTTACACTAGACACCTAACTCTGACTTGATATTCCAATTTTAGGGTGTCATCTTGGACTTAACTGGCTAATAAGATGTAAAGTACTCAGGCCTCATACCTGTGTAAAATGCACATGGTATATTTAAGAATACAGCTGTCCTGGTCCCAGAAGTATCTCAGCTGTACATGAGGTGATAGCAGCTATCCCTTACAGAGGAAATTTATCCCCCACTCTGCTGCATGAAGCAAAGCTACTGGCTCAGTAGGGCCCTCAGTTCATAGAGGTTACTCTAATTGGGCCTGGTTCACTGAAAGGCTAGTGAGAACCACTTGGGCACTGTGACTAGTCAACCTTATTGCCATTAATGCAGACCTAAAAATTGATGTGGCTGATCCTCTCAAGGGGCAGGACACAAGGATGTTCTTAACTCTAGCAGATATTCCCTTTGATACAACTTCTGGCATTTTTATTTTGGGTTCTTACTGTGCCTAGCTGCTTGACACACCGGCAGTAAAACTGCAGACTGACAAAAACACCCCTTTTTGGTGCTGTGAACTGTAGGGAAAAGTCATAGCTGCTGACATCTGGGTTGTTAGACTAGGTGCTTTTGGTAAGTGACTATTCTATGGTAATACCGAGTGGAACCAAGCTGCTGAGTAAGACTTCACTACCCTGATTGCCAGCATTGCTACCTGGATCCATCATCATACTGATAGAGCAAAATATTCACCATTTTAACTGCATACAAAGTAAAGGTCTCTATATGTCCAGTGCTTCCTTTTACGTCATTTGACCTAATGCAATTTTTTCTTTTGTATTAATATCCAGTGCTCCACATACGATATGATAATTCACCCCTTTCCTAATGATTTTAAATCTGTTCATATTCTAAATTGCCATTTGTAAAGATATTGCACAGAGCTGCTCATGACCCATTCCCTGCATTCTGTTATACTAGCAACATATCCACCTTTTGGGATCAGGGCTACCGTATACCTCATATGAGCCAAAATATTCCTTTTCTAGCCTGATACTGAATTTTTGCACTGAAGAGTATTTGAATCAAGAAAAGGAAAATATGACCTAGGACTACAGAAATGGAACATCAGACGCCGGTTAAATTATTACTCTAGAGCTGCCAATGGCCTTGCAAAGATGCATCTGCAAAAAGAGAAGATAGTATCTAGTTAGTGCTATATTCCCTAAAAATAATCAAGAGATTATTGTTCACTCTGCTTTTATAATAGTTGGTAATAAAAAGAGTCCTTCTTTCTTAGTTTCTTAAGTTTCAGTTTCTTAAGATATTTAGAATCATCTCCTTTATACCCTTTTTTATATATACTCTTTTAGAATTGTGATTGGATTTGCTATTAAGTTCAAGATCATCTACCCATTAGGATGAAATAAGTCCACCCAGGTAGTCTGAGTCACTCATTGGGAGTACAGGTGACAAAGTCCCATGATTGGACACTTAGGCTTTACCTGCTGTCCCCTTGCTGGGGTAGGCCCACAGGACAACTCCCTGTATAATACATTATTAACTGGAGACCATGGTCTGTGCTATAGCCATGAATGCTTCTTTCTCCCTACTTGGCTAATGACCTTTCCAGGTCATGGGCTTTTATTCCAACATGGATGCCACATCTAGAGACCCTGGAAGAGTCAATTTTCTGTCTGCCTGCCTATTAAGGACCTTTATGCTAATTTTAAAAAGCCTCCATTGAGGGCAGGAATTTTTATGTTTTGTTCATAATGTGTATCTCAAGCAACTGAAACAGACCCTCTACATATTGCTCACTCAGAAATACTTCCTGAAGGTGAAATTATCAAAGTGAAATCTGAATATATTTTCGTTTGATGCTGCAAATGATCTTCTGTGATTATTCATAATTTATTATAAATAGTTAAGGAAAACTATTGCTATAAGCTCCACTCAAAGACTCTTCTGTTCTGGATATTTTCTAAAGTTGATAAAAGAAACGTGTTATTAATGTTCAGAAGTGTACAGTTCTTCAAATATTTGTCACCCAAAATAAGATTTATTTTCAGTAAACTAGAATTCCCAATTCAAAATTATGCCTACATATCAGTTTTTATTAGCATTGTAGAGTGCAGGCATTTTTTTTTTTACCTCTTTTGTTTGTTTTTAGCTTTGCTTCTACTAATTCAAGCAATTGTGCAAAACAATAGTGATAGGAAATCAGATTTTCAAGATCCAACCAGAAGAAAAAGGAACTGGTTCTTGGGGTCATCCCTTTACTCCATTGTGCCAGTAGTTCCACTCGTTTTTAATTTCCAAATAGTTCTCTTGGCAGCTCCAAAAAGAAGTATTTTCTCAGGTTCAAGGATCTACTGAGAGAGGTGTCTGATGCCAAAAGAAGGGGCATAACACTTGTTCTGAGCTGCCTCCATATTTGTCTTTCCTTGCTAGGTGTGTAATACTTTTTCTTCCTCACATTAAAGGTTCCTTGGAACTCCAGAAGAAATAATACATCATGCCTTTTTATGAGGGCAGCTTCACACTATAATGAGGGAGAAACAAATTTATTTTCTTCTTAGAGACAGCACAATCTCCAAGTACCATTAGCTTGCCTGGCCAACTGGCTATTTTAATGATCTTTCAGTATTCTAAAAAACTGGCTTCCAGGGGCCCGTGACTGGCTCACTTCATAGAACATGGGACTCTTCATCTCGGTCATGAGTGCAAGTCCTGCATTGGGCATGGAGCCTACTTAACAAAAAAAAAAAAAAAAAAAAAAAACAAAACAAAACACTGCCAAATCCCAGAACAGTATAATTAGCTTAACTACCAGATGATTGACTCTTATACATAATTAAAATAAGCTAAGAAACTAATTTGCCTTGCCTGACCTGTGCCAACTCCACTTCTCAATATATGCTGCAAACTTAATGTTCAAACAAAACTTGTGTACAAATGTCATAACAGCACTATTCACAATAGCCAGAATATGGAAACAATCTAAATTTCCATCAACAGATGACTGGATAAATAAAATATGGCATATTTGTAAACTACAATATAATTCAGCCATAAAAAGGAATGAAGTATTGATATATACTATAATAGAGATAAACCTTGAAACATGCTCAACTGAAAAAGCAAAACACTAAATAAAGATAACACTTCACAGCAAAGAATATTTCCAGGGTAAAATGTGCATTACAGTAGACTCTAGCCACTAAGAATACAACAACCCTGTGTGCAAGAAACAGCAGAACATCCACATACAGGAAGCAAAAACTGAGAGAACTGAAAGGAGAAATAGACAAATCTAGTATAGTTGACAAATTCAACATCCCTCTCTTAGTTGATAGCACTACTAAATAGGAAATCAGCAAGGATATAAAAAACATAAGACCTTGGCAAACACCCAATGCTGTGCTTCTACAGATCCATCCCTCCGATGGGTCTGCCTCCCTCCCAGTGCCACAGGGCCCCTCCCGAAGCGGACCACCAAAGGCAAAAGGAGCTGAG